GAATGTGTCCTAAACTCTTTATTGAAACATAGCAAGACAGATTCTCAGCTGGTATAAATCAACATAACTCCATGTAAATCAGTGCCGATATACCAGTTCATACTTAACAAAGCTCTCTAGTCACTGATTTAGTTACACAAATGTATTTCTAGAGATGAAAGCTACAGTGACTATGGTTCGATAAACTATTAATGGAAAATAAACCCTCCATCACAGTAGCATGAGAATTAGGAAAACGAAGATGTAGACAGCAAATGCTTCTGGGAGGCTGATTGTGTTAAATAAGTACTTCCTGAGTAGAAATAAGAGCATGGCCACTTTAGGGATGTAATATTGTTGTCGATTAACCAAAAAACAAAAAGCTTATAGGTTAATGCTATAGACTACATGCATTTCCCTCCCCCCACCCTTGCCAGTAAATTTTTTGCATGCTGGACAGCAGCCTGGCTCAGTTCTGGCTTCCGCTGGGTCCAGAACCTATCCCTGCTGTGACTCTGCATTTAAAGTCTATTAGGAGCCAGGTGAGCTGGCTCACTTCTGGCTCGCACCAAGTCCAGGAGCTTAGCCCCCCCCCCCCCCCTTTCCGCGCGGAGGGGCTCCTGCCTCTTCATCAGAGACAGCAGCACTGGGCAACAAGCAGCTGGCCCAGAAGGGGAGCTGATTTTTAAACTGGCTCCCTTCTTGGAACAACTTCTGCCTGGCACTCTGCACTACTGCCTCTGATACAGTGGCTGCTAGCACCACCTCTGGGGACTACAGAATAGTCAACTAACCGAAAAAATTCATGGTTATTCAACTATTAAATTAACCAATATTTAATATTCCTAGGCCACATACACACCTGGAATGTGATTCCTTATTAACTTCACTACCAAGCCACACAATTCCACCTGCATATTTGCATCTGGGCTAAAGTGCACCAAGTACACACTGGAATTCATATGCAAATATGGACAGAGAAATCATTTCTGACCATGCAGATGGATGGATAAAACTTTTATGGAGAGAAAACCAGCTTACATTTATGTACTTAAACTGTGGGGATTTTCAGAGAGGATTTACTGTTTGTAAAAGCTTTTGTGGGTGCTTTTAGTAGTATTTGGAAATGTTGGTACTGGAATGTTGGTGTAATACACCTGGCCACAGAACAGGCAAACAGAGTTTTAATTAGTGCTAGATTTAGTGGTGCTTTTATTATAGGGACACTGATTAATCAATTGTGTGTAAAATTAGGAACAAATAAGACATAACACCTGATGGAACCTTATTTCTGCTCTGACTGTAGCATAGACACTATACATTGTTACTGCTGTAACATATGATCAAAAAGCATTTGCATGTAACTTCTGTGTGAATTACAACCCTCATATAGTAGGCCATAAGATATTCAGCAGGCTAAGAGCACATTCTGCAAGGAATGAGCGCGTTCCACAATCTGTAAAGCACACAGCTGACAGGATTTCCTGGGCCCCAGAGAATCCCAAGGCCAGGATGGTAGATCTACAGCAATGTGAATTCACCAGCAAGTTCTTGTATATGCCCATCTAAAATGAGGAACAATCAGCAGCTCTGAAAACTATAGCAGTTTTCCTGCCTCTCTTAATCTGAGGAGAGGATTCTGTTCACAAGCCACAGACTGTTTGCTGTTTTATGATGTAGCTTCAATAAGATCAGTTTACCTGAAATTTTTCCAAGTGCTTTTCTATGACTGGGGAAATAGTAAGCATAAAGCATTTTTCACTGATGCAGAAAGGATACGTTGTACGTCTCACAAAATTGTCAGCAACTAAAACAAATAATTCAAAAGTGGGAAATAGAATTAATACACTTTAAGGTATATTTTGTAAGCACATCAGAAACAAGATGAACCCTTTTAATATATAGTTAGAAACTAAATGCATTTTTTAAAAGTTTACTATTTACAAATTGGCATTCATGACAAAAGATATGCTAATTAACTGCCCCTAAAGTTTGTGGACCAAATCTACAGTTGATGTAAATGAAAGCAGATTCACTGATTTTAAGTGGAGTTGCACCCATTTACATGAGGTAGGAATACAGGCAACTTTCAATGGCATAACACAACAAGTATATTTTCGCTTTCCAGTAAAATGAAGTCCAGTAATGCAAAGGCAGAAGAATAAGTTTTGAATATTGCTACATAAGGGGTCAAATGTCAAAGCTTACAAGCTTTATATGAATTCACATTGATCCAAAGGCATGTGATTAAACACAGTTGGCTGTATCTACACTGGCATGAATTTCCGGAAATGCTTAAAACGGAATACTATTCCGTTTTCAGTTTTTCCGGAAAAGGAACATCTACATAGGCAGGCTGCTTTTCCGGAAAAACCCTTTTTCCAGAAAAGCGTCTGTGGCCAATGTAGACGCGCTTTTCCGGAAAAGAGCCCCGATCCCCATTTTCGCGATCGGGGCTTTTTTCCGGAAAAGACTACTGGGCTGTCTACACTAGCCCTTTTCCGGAACAGTGTTCCGGAATAAGGACTTATGCCCGAGTGGGAGCAGAATAGTTTTTCCGGAATAGTGGCTGATTTTGTACCGTAGAGCATCATTGCTTTTCCGGAAATTCAAGGGCCAGTGTAGACAGCTCGCAGCTTATTCTGGAAAAGCGGCTGATTTTCCGGAATAAGTGGCCCAGTGTAGACACAGCCAGTTGTGTTTAGACAACTATGGGGTTTGAGTCTTCTCATTTATAGTGAAATAGAAAAGGAAGAATTCAGCTGAAGTCTGTGTAGTTCTTGCAGTGGAAAAACAATATAGATGAGTGGCCCCATAACGTTAGCTAGCAGGATGTTACATAAAATACCTCCGGGTCCAAGGAATGTTATAATGGCAGTATGAGACTTTCTGTCGTAGCTCACATTTTTTACTTCTCCTCCCCCTTGTTTGGATTTGTAGAAATTCAGTTCTAACTTGTCTCTTATCCAGGCATCAGGTATTGGTTCATCTGGTATTTCAGAAACATTGATCTTCTCTCCCGAAATTGTTACGTGGAGCTAACAAAAAATAAATTTTATTTACTTTGTGTTTCGGTTTTTGAAGATAGAAGTGAACATATTCTTGAATTATCTCAAAAGTTTCCATAATGATTTGTCAATTACCTCAAATGTGACTCCCGTTTCTAATGTTATGGGCATTGCTTTCAAATCTATCTTTTCATCATCCAGGCTCACAGTATGTTTACCTCTTCTTATCAGTTTCTGGGCAACTGCAAGGGAAAATAAAAAGGTTTTCGGATAGTCTTACACTAATTAAAAATATTTCCTAGTGCACTTAGCCAAAAATCTTTTAGCATCACTAAAAGTGAAATAAATGGGAGTGAGAATCCGACAAGGCACATGTCTGCATCTAAGGCCATGTCTCCAGTAGGATATTATTTTGAAATAGTTATTTTGGGAGTTACTTCAAAATAAGTTATTTCAAAATAAGCTAATTCCCCAAGGAAAGCAGCCCCTTATTTCAAAATAACGGGCTCGGTAGTATGGATGCTCTGCTTGAACAGCTGAATACTTTTTAAAAATCTCACTACTCTGTGTAATATGCCTCACTAGTAAAGTGTTTTATGATCAATATGAAAGATGTTATACCTATATACAATACTATGGCTAAACTGGTACTAATAATTAGCTCTTAGCTGAAATCAAAATGTTTCTTATCAAATGAGGCAAGCTCTTGCTTTATGTTAAATGTTATTTACTAGCTTGCAAATAAACTGTTCTAATTTAAATCTGGATCAACTAAGTTTCCTGCATTTTAATGGACACAGCTACGTATAGAGGAGGCTGATATAGGGGAACAATGTCCTATATTAACTAGCATGCATTTACTAATATTGACTATAAGTCTGTATATTAATGTTGTAAAATGTAACATTGACGGATCCAAAGCCCACCAAAGTCTAGAGAAAGACTTGCATTGATATCTATGGGGTGTAGATCAGGCCTCATCCCTCTGTGAGGTAGGATCTATATATTGAAGGTAGACTGTTGGTATTCAGTGAACACATCAGCGGAGTTTAACTGGACTAGAGCTGATGCTGACAATTCTGCCCTTACAGGGTACACTTGTTTAACTGTGCAACCATCAGAGTGAGTGCAGGCTTGAGCCCTGAACGCAGAGAAAGTGAGAGTTTTTAACTGACTATTTTATTATTCTCTTTAACTTTATTTGTGATACCATGAAAATGTTTGCCTTTAGGCTGAGAGCCAGATTCCCCTCCAGTCCCAGAAACTCACTGTAAGCAAGTTCCCCCTCCAGTCCCAGAAACCCAGACTAGTAACCCCTCTTGGTGATTAAAGAAATTGTTGTTGAACCCCATACTCCTCATTGTTAAAGTGAAACACATTACATATTTAAAATATGGACCATACCATCCTCCTCTTCAAAAGCGAGAAGAGCTTGTCTTTGCTGCAATCTGAATGGAATTTTTGCAGCTATGTGGAAAAGGCAGCACGTATTCAAAAATGCATCATCATTCTCAGCATTTTCCATCCCAGTAAACTTCATTTTCTTTTTAGGTATCACTCTTTTAATCTAATATTGTAGAACCAAGACAGGAAATGACAAAGTTTAAATAATTTAGTTAGCAACTGAAAAAATTTACATGAGCAGATATCACAAAACAGTTGATGGTTACCGTTTGTAGTGCTAAATTGACTTTGCTCTTTAGTAATAGGAGGCCTGCTAAAATTGCCTCATTTTTTCTAAATTAGCAAAATAAAGATGAATGTTAAAAGTGCTTCATAACATTTGCAGCAGTGTAGCCAAAAGATTCTGAACTCTCATCCATACTATGCCAATATAACTCCCTTGATTTAAATAATTTGTACTGCTAAAGTTAGATCAAAGTTGGGCTACATGCAATTTGGGAAAAATAGCTATAGCAAACATAACTTTTTTTTTCTATAATGGACAAATCTCCTTTCTGACAGAGACCAAATATGAACACACGAAAATTGTATACACTTTTTTCTTTTCTTCTAAACATGTCCTGATCTAGCAATTCAAGTTTCTTGTATCTTCCATTTTCACATGTCCATTTTTCCCCTCACTGTCAAATCCATTTATTAACTTTGTGAGATAGAGAATGAGAAGGAAAAGCAATAGCTAAATTGCATACTGAAGTCAATGGAGCTACACAGATTTACAAAAGATGATAATCTGGCTCATAGAGCTCGTCTACACTGGCCCCTTTTCCGGAAGGGGCATGTAAATTTCACCAGTCGTCGTAGGGAAATCCGCGGGGGATTTAAATATCCCCCGCGGCATTTAAATAAAAATGTCCGCCGCTTTTTTCCGGCTTTTAAAAAAGCCGGAAAAGAGCGTCTACACTGGCCCCGATCCTCCGGAAAAAGCGCCCTTTTCCGGAGGAAAGGGCACTTTTTCCGGAGGATCGGGGCCAGTGTAGACGCTCTTTTCCGGCTTTTTTAAAAGCCGGAAAAAAGCGGCGGACATTTTTATTTAAATGCCGCGGGGGATATTTAAATCCCCAGCGGATTTCCCTACGACGACTGGTGAAATTTACATGCCCCTTCCGGAAAAGGGGCCAGTGTAGACGTAGCCATAGTGTTTAGAAATGAAGAAGTAAAATATGTCCATTTAAAAGCTGCATTATAAATATTTCAAATAACAATTACCCGAAACTCCTGTGAAAGCTTTAAACTCTTTGCTGCAAGGTCATCTTTGAGCTTCTGAATCTCTCTTTGCAGCTCAATATTTTGTTGCTTCACTACATTAAGATTTCTCTGCAGGTTACAAAAACAATTTAATAATGCATAACAACATGTAGAGTCAAAGTCTGGGCTACAGTAAAAAGCTGTAGATATGAGAAATCGGAAAATGAATTTGTTTTTAATCTTTTGCTAAAAATAACAAGCAATTAACTGTATGAATGTTACTGAGATAGTTTAAAGCAATGGTACAAATTACTTTCCAAGGAACACTCCATTCAATTTAAATAAGAAAAGTAAGATTTCAGAAACATTTATATACCACCATAAACTTAAACTGCACTTTAATGTTAGGCCCTGAAATTTCATGTACAGAAATGGAATTTACACATGTGAACAGCCTTGCTCAGATATGTGAACAATTTTACACGTGAAATTAATTGTATGTATTATTCATGTGAAAGATGAGATCCTAGATAATCTGTATTCTCTACCCTGAAGTCCTTCCAAATAGAGGGCCAACTCCTGACCCACTCCATTCCCTTTATGCCACTCAAGGGCTACGTCTACACTGGCATGATTTTCCGGAAATGCTTTTAATGGAAAAGTTTTCCGTTAAAAGCATTTTCGGAAAAGTGTGTCTAGATTGGCAGGAAAAGCACTTTTTCTGGAAAAGCGTCCGTGGCCAATCTAGACGCGCTTTTCCGCAAAAAAGCCCCAATTGCCATTTTCGCGATCTGGGCTTTTTTGCGGAAAACAGTACTGTGCTGTCTACACTGGCCCTTTTGCGCAAAAGTCTTTCAGAAAAAGACTTTTGTCCGAATGGGAGCAGCATAGTATTTCCGGAAAATCACTGACGATCTTACATGAGATCGTCAGTGCTTTTCCGGAAATTCAAGCAGCCAGTGTAGACAGCTGGTAAGTTTTTCCGGAAAAGCATCTGCTTTTCCGGAAAAAGTGGCCAGTCTAGACACAGCCAAGAAGTATAAAAGAAGCAGAAACCAGCTGCATTTCCGCACAGCTGGGGACTTCCTAGGTGTAGAGAAATTATGTGTGTGTATATACAGCCAATGTAACCAACTTCCATGCGAGCTGTCCTGTGGTCCCCATCATAGGGAGCATATCAGGATTATTAAAGGGGCATGGAAGAAGTGATGAGTTCCAGCTATCCCAAATTAGTTGGTGACTCCCTCAGAGCTATTATCAGCTCATGGAATTTAGATCAGTTCCCAGATTGCTGGGGATGGTGAAAACAGACGTTATAGATTTAATGTAGAAATTATAGGGTAAGGGGTCTACGACCAGTGTTGTGCAAATCAGACGAGGTGATCATAATGGTACTTTCTGACTTTAAATCTACTTATCCTTGATCAGAGAGCCACAGTAGCTCTCGAGAACATTCCTAAGAGCAGAATGAGTACAGCAAAGGATGTGGGCTTCAGAGCCTGATTTTGCAAATGCTTGTGCATCTAAGTGACTTTACGCATGAATAATCCCATTGACTTTGGCTGGGAATACATACGCATATCAAGTTACTTACATGCGAATAGTGTTTTCAGGATTAGGCTCCAAATAAGATAAAACACAGAATGATGACAATGCAGAGAGGATATAGATTATTAATGAAAGAAATGATTGTTTGAAATGGTAGGTTTTAAGGAGGGACTGGAAAGAGGCAGAAGCTGTGGGATGAGAGGAGGGTGTTCCACGTGTGGCAATAAGTTAGAAGCATAAAGCTGAGAGTAGAAAAAAGACAAAGGGCACAGTGAAGTAAGAGGACTGACAGAAACATAAATAACAGATGTAGAATGTAGAGCCATAAACATGAAGACAAGGAGCTTGAATTTCATGTGTATGGCTAATTAAATTCTAGTATGTTTGAAGTTCTCTGTAAACTAACATACTAGCAAAATAAATTAAATCCTTCAATTTATTGGCTTGAACATCATCTACTCAAAACCACTATTAAAATACCTTAGGATATTGAGGTAATAATCTCTTAGCTACAGCTCAGAAATGAAATCTAAAACTTTGTTTCAACTCTCTCTCTTCCCAATGAGCTAGGTCCCAGATAAGCCATAACTATCAGCCACTGACAGTCTAGAAAGAGTTCACTTCCTACAACTAGTGTTCCAAATGCCTAGATCAGATACCCAAGGACAATTACTAATTCTAAAAGGAAGCAGAGGATAACTTTGCCATCTTTGGTAAGTAAACTTTTGTGTCTTTGTGCAACTATGCTAGTTGCAAGCTTTTTCAAGTTGCAAGCTCTCTACAGTTATGTTGAAATCACTAATTCTCCCAGATACTGTACGCTTTTATAAGAAGTGTAATTAAAAAGTTAAAAAAGTGTTATTTTTGTCATTTGAATTATCCAACTCAACCCAATGTGGACTTTAGCAAATTGTAACATTGTGAAGTCAATGGGAACTTTGGACCAGGTAAGGTTAATTTTATTAGTCATCACTTTCTACTTGTGACATAGAACATCTTAGCTTTGCCTGCATTCTTTCAAATAATCACTGCAAGATTTTTGTAATTGTGTAACTTCTGAATGTTTTTTTTATAAAGTGATATGCTAAATAGTTTGGTGCTATAAAATATAGTTCTGATGGAGCGGTTTGCATTGAAAGGGAAAAGTATTACAACCTACTAGAAACACATCTACAGGTCATCTCCAAATATTAACCGCTATGGTAAATTCTCTTATTACCTCTTGATTTTCCTTGTTTATTATGCTTTCTTTACATAGCTCTTCTTCCGAATCCATTAGCTTTCTCAGCTCATCTTCTGCCTTCTTTCTCTCTTCATCAGCACTTAGTTTCAAAAGAAGGAGCTCATCTTTTTCTTTTTGAGCTTTTTCAAGTCTTTCCTTGATATTGAAAACAACAATCACTTTAGTATGTTTTTACTAGAACAAACGAAACATTGTAAAATCAGTTTAAAAGCAATCTTTCGCCATTTTTTTTTTCTTTTGGACACATACATGGTGCTGACTTAAGTGAAAACTTCACAGTTCATACGCACCTTTGATTTTTCTAGTTCTTCTTTAAGATTGTTAACCTCATCTATCTGCGTGCCAGAATGGTTGGTATCTTTCATATTCTAGAAAGACAGGAATGCACAATACTATTTTTCACTCTATAATATCACCAGATGGGTCATGTTAGAAAGACATAATTCACTTATTAAATCATTATCTGTCCAAATCATACCATTTGTGTTTAAACTATACCGAGTAAAATGAAAAGAATAACACTTTTTAAAAGTCTGAAATATTTTACCACTGTAGTTATCAATGTAAATGACAGTCCAGTTCTTGACTGAGACCCTTTTGCTGCTTCTCAGCAAATCTAACAATCCAGATGGGTGATGGAGAGAAAAAGCTGATTAGGCAAATCTGATAGTCATGCAGTTTTTGAACTGAATATTCTCAGTATTTTCATGCAGGAGTATAACAGATGCTCTATAAACAATGAGTTTCTCAATTTTACTCTTTCACTTCCATAAGTCATGGGAGTTAGAACTCAAATGTGAAAACGTGGAATTACTAACTGTGGTTTGTAACTTATCTTTTAAATCATCTTCTGTAACTAGAATATAACTAATTTGTTGGGGAAAAGTCAACATGGTTTCTGTAAAGGGAAATCATTCCTTACTAATCTACTAGAATTCTTTGAGGGAATCAACAAGCATGTAAACAAGGGGAATCCAATGGATAGAATCATAGAATACTAGGACTGGAAGGGACCTCAAGAGGTCATCGAGTCCAGTCCCCTACCCTCATGGCAGGACCAAATACTGTCTCGACCATCCCTGATAGACATTTATCTAACCTACTCTTAAATATCTCCAGAGATGGGGATTCCACAACCTCCCTGGGCAATTTATTCCAGTGTTTGACCACCCTGACAGTTAGGAACTTTTTCCTAATGTCCAAAACCTCCCTTGCTGCAGTTTAAGCCCATTGCTTCTTGTTCTATCCCCAGA